TTTAACCCCATGTATCTCAGAATATGACTATATTTGAAGATAGAGCATTTAGAGAGGTAATTAAGTTCAAAAAAACTCTTTTAGGGTGGGCTCTAATAAAATCTGATTGGTGTCCTCATGAGAAGAGAAAATTTGGACACACAAGAAATACCGGGGCTTGCGTGAATGCGAGATAACTTTGTGAGGAGGCATTAGGACAGTGACCATCTGCAAACCAAGGAGAAAGGCCTCAGGAGAAACTGAAAGTGTGAGAAAATAAATTTCTTTGTTTAAGCCATGTAGTCTGTTATATTTTGTAATGGCCGGTTTAAGAAACTAATATGCATGGATTGAGCGCGGGCTGGGAACCAAAGTGTCCCAGGTTCGATTCCCAGCCAGGGTACATTCCTGGGTTGCAGGCCATAACCCCCAGCAACCGCACATTGATCTTTCTCTTTCTCTCTCTCTCTCTCTCCCTCCCTTCCCTCCCTAAAAATAAATGAATAAAATCTTTAAAAAAAAAAAAGAAACTAATATGCTAAAATGATGAATATGTCCACCATTCTATTAAACTTAAGAAACATGTATGGCGATGTAGAAGGAGATATACTGTGGGGCCTGGAGCAACACATCTCAACTGATGAAACAGAGAAAATCAAGCCTCCTGGTGGGAGGTGGGTCATATACAATTTGAAAAAGCCACAAAAAATGATTTCAAAATTCTCCCCACTTAGAAACATTGTCTTGGATTCAACTATGTGCAAGTTATGTCACTCCTCTTAGTCACTCAACTGACTCTATTCACACTTTCTTAGAAACATTGTCTTGGATTCAACTATGTGCATGTCACTCCTTCTCTTAGTCACTCAACTGACTCTATTCACACTTTCATAATGAGTTCATACATAGTTTCACCAACTAGAATAGAAACATCACTAGGGATAATGCTGGAACTGACTCTACTCATTCACTTCTATTTACATGCAGACCAATTTGAGACTAATTTGCCATCTGCTTTCTCTCTCTTCTAGCTTATAAATTATCCATACTATTAAAAGGCATAGCTGTGACAATTCCAAGTTTCAGGTGTCCCCTGTGTTCTCATCCATTCGAAGCATTAACAACTTGTTATATTTACTCTTAGAGACAGCTGGGTTTCAGGAAGAGGTAAGATGTTTCATTATCCTACTCTATTGTCCAAGACAAATGTGTTACTGTATTATGTGTAAAATGTCATCTTTGAAGTCCATTAAGCTTATATTGTGAGATGAGCCATCTGGAAAATACAGTATAGACTGGAAAATACTTATAAGCCAGTTTATTGCTTTTTTTCCATTAAGGCTACCATGACAGCTGCTAATAACTATGTGGTGTAAATGATAGATGCTCTGAAGCTACATAGGTTAGCTGCTACCTCCAATGATGATTAGCTAGTATGTAAGTTACTTAACTTCTCTGATATTTTTGCCTTGTCTGTAAAATTAAGATGGTAATGCATGCTGCACAGGGGATGAGGATTAAATAAAATAATACTTGAAAAGCACTTGAACAGCATAGACAATAAATGTAATGTCTCCCCTCTTTTAAATATAGAGGACATTTAATATTCTTTACCTAAATAATATTAGGTAATCCAATAATATTTGGAAACAAGAAGTTCGCTGAGCTTCCATGTGATTTTCTTTGAATTTCAGAGGACAAAACGCTTTGGAAGATTAAGTTTGAAGCTTCCTCAGGAATTCTCAGTCTGGAGTGGATTAGGACCACCCAGACATGCTTAGTAGGGAAGCGCTGTCCATGGTGCTAGTAATCATGCTTTCCCCTAGTAACATTTACCCCACCCGAAGCTCACTTACCAAAGCTCACATGTCTCTCTCATGGTAGCGTCTCAGTCATCCTGCCCACTGGGTCTTCACCTTTCTTACCACCTATTATCTATGTCCCTATCAACAACAAAAAAAGTATCTTCCATCTCTTTATCGCCTCCAAATAGTTTTTACTTTTCGAGCACTTTGTCCATGCCTACCACTTAAGAAGTTGACTCACAAATTGGCTCAAGGTACCCCTGGCTGGTGTGGCTCAGTGGATTGAGTGCCAGCCTGCAAACCAAAGGGTTGCTGGTTCAATTCCCAGGCTAGGGCACATGCCTAGGTTTCAGGCCAGGTCCCCAGTAGGGGGTGTGAGAGAGGCAACCACACACTGTATTTCCCTCTTTCTCCCTACCTTCCCCTCTTTAAAAAAAAAATAAATAAATAAATCTTTTTTAAAAATAAAAAAAATTGGCCCAAGCTATCTTTTCCTAACCATTTTTGTTAAGTTTCTGAAAAATACAAGGTGAGAACACAGGAAATAGTTAATTTCCAATACATTCTCTTTTTTAAAGATTTTATTTATTTATTTTTAGACAGAGGGGAAGGGAAGAAGAGCAAGGGAGAAACATCAATGTGTGGTTGCATCTTACATGCCCCCACTGAGGACCTGGCCCGAAACCCAGGCATGTGCCCTGACTGGGAATCAAACCAACAACCCTTTGGTTCACTCAACCACTGAGTGAGGCCAGCACTCAACCACTGAGCCACACCAGTCAGGGCTCCAATACATTCTTTAAAGATTGTCTTCAGCTGGCAACTCCTCTAAGACACTTTCCCTTCATTTCCATCTTGAGTTTTGTTCCCTCCCTCCTTATTCCCCAAATACCTTGTGGACACAAGTCTCATTAAAGTTATCATACTAAATTAAAACTCTCTATTGATTATTTTTGAGTGCCAACAGAGAAAATCTCTTAAAAGCTAGGACCTATATCTAAGTCAAGTCTGAATTCCTGGAGAGGCTGGACTAAGTTTTGTTGGACTAAATTTAATGACTGGATCCATTAGAGGAAAGGTCCCAACAACACTCCTCTAAAGGGCAACCTGCCTTGTGACATTTAGCTGTGCACTAAATTTCAGGGTAGCTAGGCTGTTCTGATAAACACATACTGATCTGAGTTCATTTGCCACTACATCCATCTATTTCAATCTGGTGAGTCAGCCCCTGAGAGTGACTAGCAAAGGACTAAAGTCATTCATTTCAAAGACTCTGGCTTCCCACTGTCCATCTTCTATCTTCCTTCTCCCATTCCACCCACATATCCTGTAATTCCCAATACATTGCATGGGGACTGACCCAATACTAAACAAAAACAACTCATTGGTGCTTCTCACCTATTCCTCTGGCCACATTAAGGAATGGAGCCACCATCAACAAACAATGAGACAATTTCTTTTTCCAGATAGGAGTAGAAGCTCAAATAGAGTAAAAGGTAGAATAATTAAGAAACTGAAAGCTGTCCTGGCTGGGTGGCTCAGTTGTTTGGAGCATTGTTCACATGCCAAAAATTTATGGGTTCGATCCCCAGTCGGGGCATGTATGGGAGGCAACTGATCTCTCCTCTCTCTCCCTCTCCCTCTCTCTCTCCCTCTCCCTCTCTCTCTCCCTCCCTCTCCCTCTCCCTCTCTCTCTCTCCTGCCCTTCCTCTCTCTCTCTAAAGTCAATAAACAGAGTCTCAGGTGAGGATAAAAAAATTAAAATAAAATAAAATAAAAAAGAAACAAGTACCTAAGAACTGTGGGTGGGGTAAGAGAGAAATTATTACTAATACTGCCTCCTTCCCTTCCTCATCCAAGTGGATTTCTACTCTGTTGAAAGACAGTCAGTATATCTTCAGCCCTAACCACCACTTCCATGTGCCTTCCTTTCTTTAAAGAGCTCTTCTTCATTCTACGGTAGTTCAAGAGGAGAAGAATCCACACTAAGATATGCTAGAAGAACCTATGAAGTTTCTCATTTGCAAGTAAGCAAGCAATTGCCCTTCTTTTAAGAGTCGTCCTCCCTGGCACTCTGAACCAAAAATGATGTGGTAAATAAAAACTATTCAGTGTTAGAAGAGACCCACTTTCATGTAGATCCTCACCAAAATTTTTAGGAAAGAAGACACAAAACTTTTGTTTCTCTCTGTATTTCAATCAAGCATCAAATATAACTTTTTAAATCTTTAAAGCAATGCATAGGCTAATTCAAACTCACCTTGGAAGATTAGGAAGAACAGCACTTTGCCTTTAAATCTTCAGAAGAGGATTTAATGACAGGTTCAGCCTGTTTAATTTCAGGGCCAGCACCACACCTCTGTTTTATTATGTTTCATTATTACTGCATTAATGTCCTTTATTACTCATGACAAATAAAAATAAAATACTTGCTGAGGTGGATTTTAATAGGTAAGAGTGCAAACAAAAATAAACTGTTCAGATATCATGAAAGTGGGATCTCAGATTCTTAAAATACATATTTATATTTTAAGTGTCTAATTTGTACCATCTCGCCACTCTCAATCTCAAACTAGTTTTTTAAAAAGATTGTGCCCATAATTCAAAGATGGAAAGACTAATAAAGCACATTCAAAACAGGATTCTCAGGATTTTTCACTGAAACTGATTTTTGACTGATTCAAATAGGAAGACACATCCAAAAGAAAATTGCAAGATATGAAAATAGTAAAGTTCAGGTAGTACCTGAGGAGGAGGGATAAATTTTACCTGAATGACAGGCGCAGAGCTGTCACTTTCGGACAGCTTAAGAGAGACAGAGTGATTTTAAATGCCTCCTTCTCAGCCATTGATTCTACAAGGAGCAACTAATGTTTCTAGAGTGGAAACAATGGGCCCAACTAGGGCTGAAGGAATAAACATTCTCTGCACCGCCTGCTGGAGGGAACTAAGTACATGGATTCAACACTTCCAAAAACTTAGCCAAGATTTTGCTGTACACTCGGCGCGTAACACAGTGGCCTCCGCGCTCCAGGAGTCTGGCGCATGCGTCCTAACAAGGTCTGGGCTGGCTCTCCGCCGACCCCCACCCCAGTCCCAACCAAGTCCTCTGTAGCGTCATCTGCTGACCCCGCCTCCTGGCCAGCCCTTTGCAGTTTGCCAGAGCCCGCCAGCCGGACAGCGGGAGGAGCCTAAGGGGGTGGGGAGAGCCCTGCCGGGCTGCCAAGCTGGAACCGGTTTCAGTCCTTGCCGGTTTCTCACTCTCCCAGAGTGGAGCTCCTCAGTGAATTGAGGACGTTGCAATGCGCCTGCACTCTGCAGCCGGAGCCCCTTTGCGCTCCGTTGAGGCATCACGAGGCGCCTTTTCCAGGGAGTGAGGTGGGAGCGTCCACTAATTCGCGGGCGCCTGGAAAAGCCCAAATTAAAGACGGGCCGTTTGGCCTTGGCACCAGCCCCCGAGTCGCAGAAGGACGGGGAAGGAGTCTGGAGCTGAGCGAAGCTTTTCTGGGGAGGACGGAGTGCTCCAGGACGAGTAGAGGAGGGAAGGAGGAGTGTCTTGTAATTCAAGGCCAGCGGCGGATCATCCGGGCCTTTGTTGTTTTTGTTTGTTTGTTTGTGTGTGTGTGTGTGTGTGTGTGTGTGTGTGGTGGCTGTGAAATGTGGGAAGAGGACAAGATCCTGCTCGTAGGCAGCTGCGATGCGGGTCTGACCAGCGCCGCGGCGCGGGGACAAGTACAGACCGTGCGGCAGCTCCTAGAGGCCGGTGCAGATCCCAACGGAATCAACTGCTTCGGAAGGCGCCCGATCCAGGTAACTGGAGCCCGGGGTCCTCACCAGCAGGGGGCGCACGAACGCAGGGACGCGGCCTCCCCTTGGGGCGCGTCTGGGACCTAGGTCTCCATTGTTTCTCTCTTTATAGAGGTGTGGAGCCCAGGTGTAAAGCAGCTGTTCATCCACCAAAAACCCTAAAGAAAGGAAATAAAAAACCCACTGCTTCAGTTTGGTGTTTTGTTTTGTTTTGTTTTGTTTTGTTTAATGATGGAAAAAAGATCAATATATCCTTTCCCTTCTTAGGATCAGAGAAACAAGGTGTAGATTCAATTGAGGAGGAAAGTGGAAAGGGAAAGGTTACTTCGGTAGACTGTTTTGCCTTCTCTAAAGTCTACTTTCAGCGATACAGATAAATTATAACTTAGGCATATTGGACAGTATTTAAGGAATCACACAAAATCATAGCACATGAAAAAAATAAAAGTAAACTTCTAAGCTGCGACATGAAATTCCTTGTATTTTTTTCCTGCTACAGGCGAATTGATAAAAGGATCAAGATTCCTAAACCACAACACTTTATTTTTTTATTTGATGTCAGCATTATCTCTTAGGTGTTGCACACAAAAAAAGATGCTTCTATGGATTTCTACTGTTTAATTATCATACTGAATGCCTTTATTACAAAAGCATTCCCACAGCAACTGTTAAGTCCTTTTTAAATGGAGAAGAGTCTCCATAAATAATTAATCTCTTTATGTTAAAATACATTTATTCAATGTTTATTATTCCTGCTTTAATTAGTACTAACATATTTTTAATTCCTTTAAAATCTAAGGCAATGTTTTTGTGCTTTACTGTTGACTGTTATGGTCATATTTAGTACTCACCTCACCATCACCTTCCAGAACCAAGCTTTTGTTAAGGAATCTTGTCAATATTGTAGATGTTAAAGAAAAGATGTATTCATTCTTTTTGAATTCTTATATAAATATTACAAGAAATGAGGGATGGTTTAAAGCAGCAAAAAGTATGGTAAAGTGGTTCTAGAAGATTTCAAACTATACTAATAGTTGTATAAATAATTTTTATTTATCATTTTAATTTACCATTTTCTGAGATATGAAGAACCACTTTTTCTCCCTTCTCTACATGTGAAACAGCCTGTATATCACCAGTAGGAATAATAACATATCTTGATTTTTAATGGAAATGGATCCTTCTAATATTCAGGAAACAAAAATTTTAGTATGCTGTCTTCAATTACATAGTGCATTTTAAAACACAATCACAAGAATAATTACATTTTGGATATTTAATTATCAAAAATTGTTTTATTAAAATAAGAAAGTAAATGCTTGCATAATGTATATGTCTACAAATGGGTATTATAGAATTAGTGATCCAAACATCATTTTTCTAAATTACTCATTGTTCTGATTCAAGTACTAACATCTAAGTTCTTTTTATATAGAAAAACAATTACTACTTAACATTATAAAATCCTGTACAATGTATTTATAGTGTTTATTTTGTTACATTAATTATGTTACCCTCTAAACTTTAGCCCTTCTCCATAACATTAAGTTAAATATTTAAAATGGTGAAGTATTTATTCACAACAAATTTTTTTCATTACCTTAGAATACAATGTGTGACTTTCTTTACTTTTTCCCTTATACTTCCAATTTTGGCTCAAGTTGTAGGACCATATGTTTATAAACACAGACATATATGACTGAAAAGCAAAAGCCTTCCACAGGGGATATACTATGCAAAGTGAACCTTATTTTAAATTTGTTTCTTATTTTCTCCCCTAAAGCAGTAATCTACATTCCGTATATACATGAGCTGACTGCTATTCTAATAAAGATTTTTAGACCCGGATTATGGCTGGGGGGTGGGAAGAGCAAGGGAATTGATTTAAGACTTTAAAAGCCTTTAAGCTTAACGCCAATTTTTTCTTTTTCTTTTCTTTCTTTCTTCGTCTTTTTTTTTCACAATGACGACAAGTACATGATCATCAGCTCTTTCTTGTCTCGGCATGTTTGGAGAATAAACCGAACCTCAATTAGTAAAGAGCATAACTGGGGCCAGTGAGAGGTCTGGGAAGGGGTAAAGGTTGTATCAGCAAATGAAGTTTAACCAGACTCCTGAGGATTGTGAGCACCTCTGCATTAAGTAGATACTTCATGAATGGGTATTTCTTTGAAGTGGCTCTACCTGTCCTTGCCCGGGCCTGCATCTCACTTTCCCCTCACCCAGACCATTCCACTCTCTCCGCAGGTCATGATGATGGGCAGCACCCGCATAGCAGAGCTGCTACTGCTCCACGGAGCGGACCCCAACTGCGCGGACCCCATTACCCTCACCCGGCCCGTGCATGACGCCGCTCGGGAGGGCTTCCTGGACACGCTGGTGGCCCTGCACCGAGCAGGGGCACGTCTGGATGTGCGAGATGCCTGGGGCCGCCTGCCGGTGGACCTGGCGGAGCAGCGGGGCCACCTAGACGTCGCCCAGTACCTGTGCGCCCAGCCGTGCACAAGGACTTGACTTTTCTCCCCAGTTCCCCATCCCCGACTTAGCCCAAGGAAGGCTGCAAACTAGGAGCGGCGGAAAACCTGAAAGCCTTCCTGGGCAACTAGATTCCTCGTGGGAAAGGAGGGGCAGGCCGGAAGTAAATTATTTTTTTCTTCCTGAATCTAACCTTCGACACTCTCCGTGAAGCCAAACTCGAGAGGTGGGGCAAGAGGATTTTCAATGAGATTTTGGAGTGTAATGTTTAGTTCCCAGGTTTACTTTAAAGGGTTTTCTGGCCAAAAGTGTCATATGAAAAAGTCCACGAATGACCCCCTAGTGATGGGGGCAGAGTGGGAGGCACCAGTGCTTAGCATACGGTGGGAGGTTGAGTTGGTCATCCCACGGACCTTGAAGCAGCCCCAAGTAAGCCACCACTCTGGGCTTTAGGCCCTGGGGGCTAAAAGGGAAAACATGAAGAGTGAAGACCAGAAGATAATGACGATGGTCTCTGTGGGCTGCAGTAGGCACCCAATACTTTACCGGCTGTGAGAGCATGTGACCTGTAAAACGGTATTCAGTGGAAGTCCTTGGAGACAGCGCCACCGGATGGTGACGAAAAGAGAGGATGCCCTTATATTTTAAAATCCGTGGGTCACGTTGATGCAAGACAACTGTCAGGAAGGGGCGGGCACTTGCTGCTTGTTATTCAGTCCAGGAGAGCTTCCTGAGGCATTTCAGATGTCAGCGAACATTATGAAATGGTGGGTTGTAGCGAAAAAAACTGTAGCGGTTAACTAATGGCTGGCTTTATTTATATGATAGGATACAAAAACACCCCTGTAAATCACCACTTGAAATACTTCTGGGTTATTCTTCAGTAACAGTCTTACTTAATTGGGAGATTTTAAACAACAATGTAGGTAACTCGTGACCCTTGGTAAAGTGATGAGGAAGAACTATAGCTCTTAAGTGGAGCTATTGCACAGTGTCAACGCCTAGATTACTTTCATCCTTAACCTATTTATTTCCTTGTTAAAGTTTGTTTCCTTTCCTAGACTGTCTCAGGAGACCAAACTATGAAATATTCCAAATGTCTTTTACAAGATCAATGCACTGAGCCAATAAATTGTCTCCGGATATTTCCCAAAGATTACTAAAAAAAATAACAGATTGAGTATAAAATTGTTGAAAATATATTATTATGACTCATGGAATGTCATAATATCTGCTAAAGATGCACTGCTTTGTGATTTAATTCCCAGTGTTGCTTGATTCATTACAGTATTGAAACAACTGTTACTTCACTGCTTTAATAAAGAAAAAGCAATAAGGATTGGACTCCAAGATGTGGGTAAATTAGCTTTAAAAAGTATGTTCACGGAATTACCACTAAATCCTGAGAAATGTTAAAGACTCAAAAATTTATAAAAACTGCTTACACATACATTGAAAGATTTACATGTAGTATGTGTGTTGTATGAGACAAGAGGGAACAGAAAATTAATTTGAGAGGTTTATAAGAAGAGGTGCCTTTGAGCTAAATTAGAAAAATCTTTACCTTTCTACCAATTCTTTATTCTGCAAATGAATATTACTGGGGAAGCTTAGTTGGGAATCAATTTATCTTGTTGGAAGAAATATATAAGCATTTATTAACACATAACTTGTCCCAGGTATACTTTAAAATTCAGTTGTTCATTTAACAGTTAAGATAAACTGGGAGATAGGTTGTTTCCTGTATCAGGAAAATGAGAGAAACATCAAGTGGCTCGTCAAAGTTCCCAAGATATTCGTTCCAGGGTTGTGAAAAGTAACTGTCTGGCTCCAAAGCTTATGATTTGTTTGGGCTGGGTTTTCTCATTGCACTATCCTGTTCTCCAAAATGATTAATAATAAATATAAAGTCAACTAAAATTTTTGGAAGCAGAAAATATTACCAACATTTGTGCAAATCTCACTCCCTGACCTTCATTCCAAGATCTGGAAGTAAAATAAATTCAAAATTCATTTGGCTCATTTTTATATTTCTTTTCCAGCTGAGGTGATGGATGAAAAAACAAGTATGATTTACTATGAAAGCAAAATCTATTAAAAATTTCCTGTGCTCTAATGGCTAAAATTAGTCATTTCAGATCTAAGGAATGAAACATTCGAAAGGAGAGCTCAAGATCCATGGGACTCCAAACAGCTTTGGGGAAGTGTCTACAAAGGAATGCTTTTGTGGTATTTTATTTTTGTATTATGGTAATCACATATGGTGTCTAAGACCAAATAAATTATTTCATGGAGCTAGGTAACTGACCTTCAGCAAATAAACAAACCAATTTAACTTACACTTAACATTGAGATTCTACATTGCCCTTCCTTTATGGGAAATGTTAAAAACAAACTATCTGTGTGTTAATGTGTGAGTCTACGGATTTTTTTACCACCTCTATAATTAGTCTCAATTATTTCAAAAAAGACATGCTTACTTCCCTTTCATGCTTTATCAGAAGCTGATTACTTTTATAACAGGGGATAATTTCTCCAATGTTCAAGACATTGGCACTCTACCAAAAGAAGAAAAAGTAGTATTAGTTATCCGCAAAAATGATAGAAACCATCTAAAGAAGCACTCTTATGGACTGCCTTCTGGAGCAAATACAAGAGCCAATGTCATCTAAAGTAAAGTAGTCTTATCTTCATTATTAACAAACAATTTAGTTATTTTGTGAAAACCTGAAAAATAAATTTTAGGTTGGTGTAATTTCACTGTTCAATTACTAAGGAAAAATAATGATAGATAGATACAACATACCTAAAGTTTTTTTAATTAAAATACCTGAAGAAGCCACAGCAGTTTAGTCGCAATACATTCATTCTCCTCCCCCACCACTATGTTTAACCCGAGGTAAGAAAGAGCTCATGGATGAAAGAGAACTTAAGACCTGGGTTCCACTATTGGTTCTTCAACTAATTAAATACATGACTTACTAAATCATATAAAAGGTGGGAGATGAACTATATGACTTCTAAGTTCCCTACCATTACTAAAGGTTTATCCCTTATGAGTTTGTTGCATACATGGCTGGGGGTGGGGGCTGATGTCTATTAGTAATAATTTTGCCATGGTATGAGAGGCAAAGAAAGATATATAGAGGAATGGAAAGAAGAGACACATTTTAAAATTCTGGAGCCCTAGGGGGAATTATCTTTATAAGTACCACCTCCCCAAGTTAGTTGGAAAATTACAGAGAAGTTTTGGAACCTGAGACAGAAAAGATGCTTTGTAAAGCAAGTACTTAGTTTAATTTTAAGGTCTTTCTCACCTCCTCTTATCTCTGATTTTTCCTAATGCTTTTTCCATTTCTCTCACACCACTCACAGCCACTAAAAGAATTAGTTTCTTAAAGTGAGATAAGCAAGTAGATTCAGTATATTCAGAAAACAAAGCTGAAGCAGGTAGTTACAAACTAATGTAAGTGCTCCGAAAGAAAAGGTGGTCTTTAAGTGAGCATACTCTAACAAAGCATTCTGACTCAAATGGAGTTGGCGTGGAAATCAGAACCTAAATAAAAGGTTGGAGATCTTAGAGGAAACAGAAAGTACAAAGTCAAAAGAATGCTAAAATATGTAGAAGAAGTCATCAGAAGATGAGTAACTCTCCGTAAACAGCTGCCATGGACTTTACACACCCATTTCAAAGGGTGAGGAGTTTCTGGTTTGTTTCCATCCAGTTCTTTGAAACTTTGGGTCTTTAAATTTTGCTGGGGTGATAGTAGCAACCAGCTGTTCAGGAAAAAGTTCCATATCACCTAAATGTGTACATGCCAGCCATTTCAAAAGGGTAGAAAATGCAGTAAAAAGAAAGCAACAACAGGAATAGAAGGAAGAACAGCATGGTAGTGTATTGAACATAAGTCAATAGTTCAGCATAATGAATCAAACAAAACCAAAACTGTATATAGTCCACAGACAGGTGGGATCTGTGAAATGTTTCCAGGCCTTAAATAATGGGAATCTGCTAATTCCCTAGTCTCTTGATTTTCTATAAAACTTTTCCCAAATTCAGCTATTAGAAATAGGATGACTCCTTTCTTGCCCCTTGAATTCCCCATTCAGAAGATTTTAATATTATTCCTTGCATAAGGAAAAATGGTTCACTTTATAGAAATGATAATTATTACACATCATCCTTTATTAATTGTGTACCAAAGGGAAAAGTGCTTTGAAGCCAGTGCTAATAAAGTAGATGTAACAGACATGGATTGCATATTAAGCACAGTAATATAAATCAACATATATGTCAAAACTGAGCACACAACTCTGATTTACAAATTTGAAGTTTGAAATAAATATAAACCAAATATTGTGCTGCTAAAAAAAGAAAACTATGGGAGATGTATCTACATTATACTCAAAGTTCACAAAGAAACCCAAATACTTATTAATCCCATTTCCACTTAGAAGACCCTGGTTTAGGCCCCCAGTAGATATATAGAGTCAGTGCTGGCAGAGAAAATATTTTACAACAGAGTTAAATAAAATTCATAATATATTTAGCTGCCCTCTTATTTAAAAACATTGTGATAGAGATGGTGCTACTTCCTTTGAATCCTTTCATGTTTGACCTCTGGATCCCCCTATCATTTTAAACAACTTCTCTCTACCTTCTTATCCCTTCACAAATATCTCCAACTCCTTGCCTTAGATAAAAATTGGGTTTCCCTGAGAATTCCACTTTCTCCTGCACCACATACTAGGTACTGGGCTGTGAACAACAGAGAGGGATTCAGGACCTACTTGGGTGGCTTGCTATAGTCCCTAACTAAATACATAAGGATTATCCATTATTCTGCAGGTTTCACCCATCTCTTAGAAATAATTGCTTTTTGTTTTCTTCATCAGCTTAAGCTATAATTTCAGTATGTTATTACATATTTGTAATATCTATAAGACATACCATTTAAGCATAAAAACAGTAAGCAAATTTATTCTGTTCACAAACCCACAGATAGCTCAACAGATATTGACAACACATGGAGTCTTCTTCTGAAGGGTAAATGTTGAAAATACTTACACCCAATGGTTCCTCATTCCATCTATAAATTATGAAGTGCTGGGCTCTACCACCTTTCCTAGGGCACAGTAGTACCCTTTATAGTAACCTGACATCCTCTCTACATGCAACTTAGAAGTATAAACTATAACCTTGCCTAAAATATTTTGACATCCTCTCCTACTCTCTAATCTCTAAACTGTCTTTGAAATTTAGAGTTATCACATATGGATCCACTCCAGGTTTACAGGAACCTTTTAATCCATTTAAATACTACCAAGAACAAAAAAAATGTTATCCCCTTTCTAGAAAAAAAAAGCTGAATAACATTTAATTTTATATCTGCCCCAAGGTATTTATGATATTTGTACAATGATGGTGTTGTCTCCACCAATCATTTCAGACCTGCATACAGAGAAGTGGTTCTCAACCCTGATGTCATGTCAGACTCACCCCTGGAGATATTCTAAATATGGATTTGCTGACCAACTTCAGGTCATTAGAATTAGAATCTCTATGTCTCGGGCTGCAAATTTCTGAGATTCCTACCTTAATATTCTTGTTCATGGTAAACTTTCAAACAGTATGGAAAATAAATAGAATTAAGTAAACATGTCCTGAAATCTCTCTACCCCCCATTCTCACTTCTCAGGGGTAACCACTATTTTTCAAAAATTTTAATTAACCTTCCAGAAATATCGGTGCATAGGCAAATACTCTTCCCCAACATTTAGAAAATGTAACTAGAATCATACTATTCTGCAACTTGTTTTCTTCAACTAGTAAGAGATCTTTGACAACTTCCACTGACATACAAATACACTTCATTTTTTTTATGACTGCATAGTTTTGTATTTTATGAATGAACCCCAATTTTAAAAACCGGTCTCTTTTCCACAAACATGCAAATTGCTTTCTTTTCTGGGTTTTTTTTTTTTTGCTACAACATATGATGCTGTAAAGAATCTTTTTTGCATCCTTAAATGAGCTATCTGTAGCAATTTATAGGAGTAAAATTGCTTATGCTAAGGGTACATCTCTCTCACATACACAGAGTTCATCTCTACATATGTATCTGTATGTAAAACCTTTTCAAATCTTTTCATGCATGTGACTCTGTATATACTATGTGTAAGCATATGTATATCTTCAATACTTACTTATAAATGTGCGTATATACAGGGATGGGCAAAAGTAGGTTTACAGTTGTTCCTATGGAAAAAGACATGCAGGTTATAATACAAGAATAAACTTTGTGTTTTGAGTACTTACAACTGTAAACCTACTTTTTCCCACCCCTGTATATTGATATATACTTCTCATAATTTTATGAGTTATAGAAGAGCAATTGCTAAAACAAAGGGTACATATATACACATACAATTTTAATACTGCCAAGTTGCCTTCCAAAACAACTGCACCATGTTACAATACTGTGTAGGAGTGATTGTTTCCTGACAACTTTGTCGATGTCACCACTCCTTTTTATTTTTGCCACACCTATAGATATGTCATTCTTTCTGTTATGTTGCTTTACTGGTAAATAAAAGTAAGTATCTTTTAATATATTTTGACCACTTGACTATTTGTATATCCTGTCCTATAAACTTCCCATTATGTTGTTTGCTCATTTTTACTGGGTTATTGTTTTACTCATTTATGTATTTATTTATATGTTCTAGAAGTCAATCTTTTATTATATATTCAAAAGTAGTTCTTAAATCTTGCTTATGGTATTATTTTCCCTTATACTTTTGGGGTTTTCCATTTGAGCATGTGTATTAGGGAAGTTTCTCATAGACTTTTGCTAATCAAGAGAAACATATGAGAAAACTAGTGTCCTGAGGTGGGGGGCAGGGAAGACATAAGACAAACTATGTTAAATAAAATGCCCTCTCATATCCTTGCCTATGAGATGAATTTGCTGATCCAAAATAAAAAATCATTTTTCCCAATTAAAAAACTCAGATCTACAAAGTCAGGGGTGATGTTTTGTGTGTGTGTGTGTGTGTGTGTGTGTGTGTCTGATTGTTTATTTTAGGCAAAAAAAAGAGAGCAAAGAAAAACTCCAACATCAGTGATTCTCTGTCTGCAAATATGACCCACTGATCACTCACTCCCTCTGGCCTTCAGTACAACAGAAGACCACAGGCTTATAGTCCAAAGATCTTCATGATTTCAACAATGGCACTTGCTCGGCCCGGCCGTAAAGTATTCGAGATTTGAGCCCCTCTGGGTTTCTGTTTTCTCACCTGTAAAATAGGGGTAGTCATCCCAAATTCAAAGGGACACTGTGAAGATAAAATAAGTAATACATGTGAAAGTGCATATACATAATACTGTTCAGTTCTTGTTCAGACCTTTTTTTGCATAGCACATAGTCAAAAGTCATTTGGAATTCCAAAAGTTCTTGAAATACCACAAATTCATTCTTTTGCTAAAGATTCATCTTCATAATTGTATTTTGCTGAGTCTAATATTAAAATTAGACAGAATTCCCCTACATACCACAACTAACAAAACACAGGTACTAGGCAGCAGGGGAAAACCAAGGTGGAATTTAAATTTCAATTTTAAAATGTATAATCATTGAAGACAGAGCTAATAATTTTAATCCTCTTACTCAAATGGCATTCCTCTGAAGTGAGCAACTCCCCCTGTCTAAGAACAAATTTGGATACAGAGGAAATGGTTACAGATTAAGCTATACAGGCCCAATCAACACAGACATCCCTGAATTTAAACTTAAGTGGGAAACTGAAGCTCAACAGATCCCTCAGGCATAATGGGGTAACATAATGTTTTAATTTTATATGTCAACTTGGGTAAGCTAGGGTACCCAATTGTTTGGTCAAACACCAATCCAGGTGCTGCTGTGAAGTTTTGTTTTGTATTGTTTTAAATATAATTAACATTTAAATCCACAGACTTTGAATTACGATTTTCCTCCATAATGTGCATGGGCCTCATCCAATCAGTTGAAGGCCTTAAATGAAAAGACTGTGGTTCCCTAAGGAAGAAGGAATTCTGTCTCCAGGCTGCCTTCTGATTCAAAACTGCAATTTCAACTCTTTCCTGAGTCCCCAGCCTGCTAACTTGTCTTGCAGATTTCAGACTAACCAGCTCCCACAATCGGAACAGCCAAGTCCTTAAAATGCACACACGTACACTATTGGTTCTTCTTCCCCGGAGAACCCTAATAATTTCAAGAGATGTGTCCTACAGTTCTTCTTGCCCTCACTCACCATAGTTCATTGGTACAGCTAATCACCCTGCCTGGATCCAGGAAACCCTTAACTCTCTGACTTCTCCAGGGCTCTTAAATGCTCCTATGCTGAAATTGGGCATCATTTTTCCTCCAGGATGCTTTCTCTGAATTATCCACTCCCTAAATTGCCCCTCATTTGTCGCCATAAAACGAAATACCCTCATTATAATTGGAATTATAATCTCTCCTACGAAGTTTTCTTTGGGGGGCGGTGCATCATTGTGGTGCAAGACAAAACAGGATCTGACTCCTGTGGAGTTTGCATAGTACTGTGAGGTAGAAAAAAACAAATAATTACATAAGATAATTTCCGTATGCTAAATACAAAACAAAACAAAACACGGTGATATCACGGCCTCTTAAAGAGGAAGAGTCACTGAGGTGAGAAGGAGCTAGCCTGTGAAGAGCCTGAAAGAACAGGCCATTCGCTCTAGACACGGGAGTAGCAAGTAGCCTTAGCACCGATCAAGGTGTTCCGAGAAATTCTGAGTCCTGCAGGAGAGCCGAGAGGTGCTTTTGTAAAAATATCTAAAGACATATTTAGAGTGGCTATTTAAGATTGGTCCCTAACTGAGGGATGGAGTGAAGGAAGCCTGCTGCTAGACCTGGGCAGTCAGATAGGGTTGGATTGTCCAAGCCTCGCTTTCCTCCTCCTTCGACTGTCAGCTCCCTAGCCCTGGATCCACTTGGCAGCTAGGCCACTAGGCCGGAACACGTGAAGACGCCAATGAGAGGCGGGCCACCTTTTAGACTCCAAAGGCTGGGCCTAGTCGCACAACCTCTCTTACAAGCCCAGCCAGCCAGGCCTCGCCTCCGGTCCTCGAGGCTCTGGATGGATGAAGATTGCATCCCCGGGGGCTGGGGCACAGGGTCTGCATCGCCCGCCTGAAAGCGGCGAACTGAGCTCGACTTCCCGCCGCCGGGAGCTGGCGAGCCCGCAGGTAAGCTCTACGGCACCCGAGAGCTGGACCCCGCCAGCCTGCGCTCCGGAGCCCGGCTCCTCCAAGTCTTCAGGCCACGACCGTGTCCTCGACACACCCCTAGTCTATGCTGCTTCTGTCCTTCCCTCGCTATTCCTGCTTGGAGTGGACAGCGCCGAGGGAAGGGGAGGGGTGTCCAGAAAGAAAGGATCACTGATGTGCAAGGAAAGGGGAAAGAAGGAGGAGGGGAGAAAAGGGCAGAGGGAGCACGGAGAGGACGCGGGCGAGGAGGGGGCCGGGTGTCGGGGGCGGAGGCTACGCGCAGCTGAGGGCCGGAGCAGCAGAACTTGGGGAGAAGGCGGGGTGAGCCGAAGACGCGCGGGAGCAGCCGGTGGGGGAGGGGAGCGCCCGGGCAGCAGGAAAGAGGAAGATGCTTAAAGGTTAAAAACGAAAATAAAAAAACTGCCGGGTGAAATGACCAGTTCTCGACCCACCCCGGTGCCCTCGGCAAGACAGAGAGTAGGGTGGGGAAGGGGCGCCCGACCCAGCAGGGCCCGGGAGTTGGGGCCCAGCCGCGCCTACCTGCCCAGGGCCGGGGCCCGCCGCTCCCACGGCGCCAGCGCCGTGCCTTGTTGAGGAGTCGCATCCGCCGCGCGCGGAGGTTTCCCTTCATTTCACTCCTTTCCAATCTAGAAGTAGAGCATAGCGCCATTTCTTTCAAAACTGATATCCAGCCTGCTGAATGGCGGGTAGAGCAATGACGTGACCCTGCTTGCTTTCTTTCTTTTTCTCTTTCTAAATAACCGGGTTTGGTGGAAAGGCGGACCCTGGGCGAGGGGCAAGAGGAATAAAGTGAGGGAAACCGGAGCTGGAGCGCGAAGCCGCGGAAGCGCCACTGTCCGTTCCTAGCGGCAGTCAGGTGACGGGCGCTGAGGGGGCGGGCTGCCTGGAGATGCGTCTGTCGTCAGGACCTGGAGCTGTCACCCCGTGGGGAGCCCGCGCGGAGGGTGTGTGTGGAGGGTGGGGGTGGGGGGAGCACGGAGAGGCGGGAAAGAGGAGGTGGGGGAGGGAGAGAAACCGAGGACTGCAGTCTCGGGCGCGCTCGCCACCCTCGGACCGCCTTTCCTGCGCGCGCTGAGCGCTGAACGGTCCCGAGATCTTGAGAGGTCGGGGCTGAGCGGGCGCGCGCCACGGGCGCGGGGGCGCGCCTTCGGGGCGGTGATGGGCGCCACCGCCGCGTGTGGGTCTCCGTTTGAAATCAGGGGGAGAGGGGGCGGGCGCGACGCTGCTAACCTCTGGTGCCAAGAGGCGGCGCAGCGCCCGCGCAACTCGGCCGGAGCGAGAACATGGTGTATACCTATTTAGTCACGGTGAGGATTCGGCGCGTGTCTGGCCCTCCGCGAGTGAGGGCTTTCGTGGTGCAAATCCCTCGGCCCGCGGACGAGGGGGCAGCGCCGCCGGCTCTTCGGGCCGCTGCGGCCCTCGTGCTGGCGCTGGTGAGGACCCGGCGCAGAGCACGGCAGCCAAATCCTGGAAGACCAGGTAGGAGAGGCCTCAAAACGTCCCGGCGGAATCGGCCTTTAGGTGATTCTGGTGGGCGTGATTTTAATACACAGATTAATCATCTTCCAGGGTTTGGAGGCTCATTTGAATCTCTCCATGCGGGTTACGCTTACTTAGAGGTGAGGGTCTGTCAATATATTGAGCCCGGAGCTCCTTCGCACAACTCCTTACTCCCGTAAAATCCGGGGGAAAACTGGAGATGCTAAGCCCACTCCAGAAATGCCCCTGGATTTTCTGGGTGGGACACACACGCACCACACTGTGAAATACACCAGGTGTGTTTCTAGGGCACTTTATATTGTCCTGGAGGGAAGCATTACTAACGGTCTCGGTTTAATGGAGGCCGCCTTTTTTCTCCCCAGCCTTCTTGCTGGATCAGCCTTCCCTTCTTCCAGTAACCCTGTGATCTGACGGGGAAATAGTAACATTGATCGAAGGATTGCTAACTAGTGAGTGGAGAATTTGCAGTCAAAAATAGACTTTCGTAATGAATGGCAGGTAGTGATAGCAGGTTTGTTTGGCGGGTCGTATTCAAAAGCCTCGGGACAAAGGCGAAGGCCGTAAGTTTAGCAAAATCATCTCAGGCCACAATTAACACTTTTTTAAAAAATGAGGCCTACTTCTTGAAAAGTAGGCTTCTAAGGAATTTTGTCTTCACATCAGCTAAATCTTGATACAGTCGGTGTAATTTCCTATGGCCAAAATAATGGAAATATATAGAGTTACAATATGCAAAATCCTATTAGAATTTGGATAATAAATGCGAAAACAATTTAGTGAGGTTCCATTTTTGTGACCATTCTTGTTGCATCATTTCCTCTGGAATATATGTTTTAAAATGAAAAGGCCAGCCGAGGGGTAATTAGTTCTTATTGTAACGTTAATAGGCTTTTTGTTCATAAATGTAGAACTGTTACAACTATCAGTGTTTAAGTGCCTCAATTTTATTGGCAAATGTCTACAATAAATTTATAAGGTGAATCACATTTTCTTTTTCATATCATTAAGAGAGTTCAGTTTTGAAAGAATCAGTAGCAGAAGCTTATAAGGAATTTCATAGGCTTATCCTGGTTTTTTTTAATGCTCCTTTATTTGTAGCAGCAAATGTTTAGACACTATGATATGTTTTTGAGTATCATAGTTGTTAATATTACTCTCTATATAAAGCTATTTTATTTAAATTATTTTATACTAGAAAGCTACAGTAACAAAGTAGAACATTTTAATCTATGTAAATACTATATGTGTTATCTAGTTTAAGAATACATGATATAATATTGTGATTACTTTAAGTTATAGAAAATATTTTATAGGTATTCATTGTATAAAATATTAAAAATATAAAATGATATGTTCATTGAAAGAAGCCATTCATTTCTTTTTATTTAGGTATAAATCAATTTTCAGGAATGATGTATAAAGTTATTTTAAAATCCATTGACTATATGGAAAGCCCAATTTTCAGCAAATGTCTAAACACAAAACACATGACTTCAAAAGAACAGAATATATTGAAAATATGTGCAATTCTCCAACTTTATATGTGAAATTATACACATGAATAAACATTTAGAAGTATCAATTATATATGATAAGTAATTATAAGTTGGGTAATTATCCTGGAATTTATGCAGTCTTCGAGAGCCACAGTACTAAAAGTAACTTGTATTAATTATTTAATATTAATGTAAATATGTAAGGTGTTATTTTAACATAATTTTAGTTTCTGCAAATATATTCACTATGACTTTATGATTGAAAATGTATATAATAAAATTCCACATTTCTAGTTTATCACTCATGCCTGATGAATCACACTGATTTGTTACTTCTCCCTTGGCGTCTCCCTTGGTGTATACAAAATAGTGATATTTTTATGAAATTAAATATGTTTGTCAACTACTATTTGGAAACTCTTAGGGTTTTTAGTGTTTTCTCAACGTTAGCACTGTAGACTTAGCATAAACCATTATTTTCAATGAGTGTGTGATCCCCAGCTTGTATTATGTTCTAAGTGAAAAATAACCCTTTCAGGAATCATTTACTTCTTAATATTCATTTACTTCTTTGAGGACTCTTGAATTTTAAAAATTCCATTGTCTTCTAGCATAACAATAATGTAGCCTGTTGCTATGTCTAGAATATTTTACACACCTGCTAATCACATATTTGTTCATTGCTGCTATCATGGTAAAGTTAAACCATTTTCCCAACATGTGAATAACTCCTGTAAGGAAATTGATCCACATCATCTCAAAAATATTTTCTTAAGTATTTCAGAAGACTAAACAGCTGGCCCAATGATTTTACTCTTTTAAAGCCTTTAGTCTTTTTTTTTTTTTTTTTTGAGAAACACAGTCTCAGCCTCACGCTAAAGCTGGCTGTGCCTATACACAACGTAGTTTGTTTTTAAATAACTGGTAAATATAGGATAAATGCATAATTATACCTATTTCCAAGGCATCTGGGAGTTAGGCCTCTGGCTTCAACTCATGCTTCCCTTCTTTGCAGTCTTCAGTCTGGGGCTCTCCCTCCTCCCAGAGCTGAGCTAGGGGCTTCCCAGGACCTGAGAGAGTGCACAAACTGGGAAGTGAGCCTCAAGCTTCTTGGAGAGACTTCACCCCTCTCACCTCTCCCACCTCCCAGCTCCTACCACCCTCCTGGCCCCAATTCCTAGAGATGATGCAGTATCCTGAAGATTTAATTGGCAGGTGGAGTAGGGTTCTCCAGCAAGAGTTTAGACACAGACCCACTTAGAACCCCACTCCACAGACGCATTCCTTCTACAGCCTCTGCTGGACCCCATCTTTTTCCACAGGTGACATTTGATCACAATAACAGTAACTGCAGATCATAGGTTCTATGTAGAGCTGGACTCAGAACCTCACTGGGTGGGGACGGAAGTGGGGAAAACACAGTATGAGTGAGCCTTGTGGATTCAGAAGTGTGAAGTATGATAGGAGACTTCCCTAGGTCACTTCCCCAGCTTGAAACTGGCAGCCTTTTTTTCTGGAGAGGAGGGGTCAGAGTGGGTTAGGTACATTCATGGAGAAAGCGTAGTTCCAAGACTGAAGGTCATTGTGAGCCCTTGCATTCCAGGTGGCGACCAGAGTGTTGAAAGGCCACATCCTCTTTGTTTCTCTGTCTGGGTTGCAAGGTGGTATGGGGAATGACCCATATTTTTCCAGTGATGTCTCTCAACTGTTTTCTTCTTATACTGAAACTACCCCACCCTCAGTTAAATAATTCTAATGAAATCATTTTTTAGAATGAAAAACATCTGTAAGCCTTATAACAAGATCAGCTTCTATGACAATAAGCCAACCTGTGGAGAAAACTTGGGGAAAAAAGACTTGGTTCAGTAGGGAGAAAGGAAGGTCCTTTTAAAGGCTCTGCTCCATTTAAGAAAATGTCTACCAGTTTGGGACCTCCACATTCATCATATCCTAATTCATAGT